GTGGAGGAGGTGAGGGGAGAGATAGGAGACGAGTGCATGGAGAAGGCGAGGGCTCCTAAAATGACTGCAAGGCAAGGTTTTGTGACCCACATAGCACAGGGGCGACAGTGCCGGCTGGAGCCATCGCTGTTGGAACCGCATGGGCAGGGGACCCAGAAGGTGTCCTCCATCCCACCATCTGCGCCAGTAGAACCACCACAACCAACAACCATAACTAAAACCACAACTAGAACCACAAATTCAACCACGAACATAATCACAACTATAACCACAAATATAACCACAACTAGAACCACAAATTCATCCACAACTAGAACCACAGATATAACCACAACTGTAACCAAAACCAACAACTACAATTATAACCACACCCACAACTATCACCATAATATAAAACCACAATTCTAAGCACGAAAACTACGGACACAACTATAACCACAACCATAATATGATCACAACTATAACCATAACATAACCACTACAACTATAACCACACCTCCGGTTAGCACAAGTGGCTACGTACGGTGCGAAAGAAGTTCAACACCTACAAAGACAAAATAAAAAAAATCTCCCGTACAGAATTTAACAGACTGTCGGGGCAAGTGCTGTTAGCGAGCACCTATGGAGGCCGGCAGTGTGGCACACAAGCGGGTGGGTGGAAAGCCCCATACCCGACCGTCTTTGTCTCCCGAGTGGCGATGTTTATTACACACAGCAACAGGTACTCATTTGAGGCAGAGTCGACGTAGGGGAGGCCCTGGACTGGTTCAGATGATCGTCACTGGTGTTGGCCGTGAGCGGGAATCGAACTTGTGTCCACGGGTTTGTAGCGCGGCGTGTTGACCGCGACTCTACCGCTCCCTACACATACATAAACAACCATGACAGCCAACATAACCACCTTCATCACAAATATAACCACAAAAACATAACATAACCATCACAACTTTGACCACAACAACCACCAACAACAATCACAATTATAACCACAAGCATAACCACAACAACCATAACATAACCACCATAGCTATAACTACAACCACCACAACCTCAACTATAACAACTATATCCATGACCACCGCAACCACCACGTACACAACTATTGCCACGAAAAATATAACCCCCACAACTATAATATCCACCACCTACACAACCACACTTAACCACAACCAAAAGCACTATAACCAACATAACCACCTAAACCACAACTAAAACCTCAACCACCACATTGATCCTGCTACTCTGACACCGCCGACACAACCACTGTGTCAAGGCTCTATGTCCCTGTGTGTCTCCGTGTGTCTCCGCGTGTCACTGTGTGGGTGAGTCGATGGGTGAGAGTGGTGAGTTGGTGAGTTGGTGGGTGGGTGGGTGGGGTGGGTGTGTGGGCGATGGAATGGAACCTGCACCTCTGCCGCACGTGCTGGGGTAAAGGGTGGGTACGCTCACCTTGCTCCAACACGTGTAGACCAGCGTGGAAGAGTAGACCAAATACCCTATTTAGCGGCCTCTAGTGGAGGCCCATTCCGCCAGCAGGCGATTGGCCTCCACAATAAATCATTCCGTGCAGAGATGAAGCAAAGTCTCTTTGACTCATCCCATCAGCCGTACGGCCGTCTGGGAGTGCCTCTCATCAGCAGCAATGGCTCAACTCGAGCGCCACTCTGGGCCGGTTTCCACTTTCAGTGCCTCATCAGCAGCAGCAGCAGCAGCAGAGCCGGGCTCTGCTTGAACCGATGCCGTGAGCCCAATAGCTGTTTAGAAGCTTGCGGCTGTGGGCCGCCTTTGTCTCTCCCCCACCACTGCTGAGGTGTCCACACCACGCGAGGTTCTCACTTTCAGGCTGAGTCGACCCTGAGGAGGCCCAGACAGCGAACCGCTTCAGAAGTTGGCGCCACTCGCCCCGGCGGAAGCGGAAGTAGCAGCGGGGGAGGGGGTATGGGGGAGGGGGCTGGAGGGGGGAGGAGTTGAAAGATAGTGACGTCATGGAGGGCGTGGCTTCCTGGCCCCGCCCCCCACTTGCCTATGGTAGTTTGTGCGAAAGGCGGCGGTAGAGAGGTGCGGAGAGCAGCAGCAGCCGCCGCGAGTGGAGATCAGCTGAGGAGGAGTGGATCTCCGCTGTGGGTTAGTGGTGGTGGTGTTCGTGGTGGTGGTGTGTTAGTGGTGGTACGTTAGTGGTGGTGTGTTAGTGGTGGTACGTTAGTGGTGGTGCGTTAGTGGTGGTGCGTTAGTGGTGGTGTGTTAGTGGTGGTGTGTTCGTGGTGGTGGTGTGTTAGTGGTGGTGTGTTAGTGGTGGGGTTGTTAGTGGTGGTGTGTTAGTGGTGGTGTTCGTGGTGGTGGTGTGTTAGTGGTGGTACGTTAGTGGTGGGGTGTTAGTGGTGGTGTGTTAGTGGTGGGGTTGTTAGTGGTGGTGTGTTAGTGGTGGTGGTGTGTTAGTGGTGGTACGTTAGTGGTGGTGTGTTAGTGGTGGTGGTGTGTTAGTGGTGGTGGTGTGTTAGTGGTGGTGCGTTAGTGGTGGTGTGTTAGTGGTGGTGTGTTAGTGGTGGTGGTGTGTTAGTGGTGGTGGTGTGTTAGTGGTGGTGGTGTGTTAGTGGTGGTACGTTAGTGGTGGTGTGTTAGTGGTGGTGTGTTAGTGGTGGGGTTGTTAGTGGTCGTGGGGTTGTTGTTAGTAGTGGTGTTCGTGGGATTGTTGTTAGTGGTGGTGCTAGTGGTGGGGTTGTTGTTAGTAGTGGTGGGGTTGTTAGTGGTGGTGTTAGTAGTGGTCTGTTTTCGTGGAGGTGTTAGTGGAGGGAGGGGGGCATAGGGGGGGGAAGGTGCTGAGGGGGAGGAGCTCCGGACTGTTACGTCACGGAGGGCGTGGTTTCCTGGCCCCGCCCCCCACGTGCCTCTGGCAGTTTGGGCGAAAGGCGGCGATCGAGAGGCGCGGAGAGACGACATCGTGCAGCAGCTGAAGCCATCGGAGCGAGCCTCGACGAGGTGAGGATTATGTGAGGGTGTGAGTCCGTGTCGTGGGTTCGCGGTGAGGGTGTCAGTCTGTGTTGATGTGGGTTCATGGTGAAGATGTGAGTCAGTCTTGGTTCTTTCGGTAAAGTCACGTAGAAGGGAAGTAATAAAAGAATAAAAATAAAACATAATAAAATACAATTCTCACGACGTTTCGGCCACAACGCAAGCAGCCGTCCTCAGGTGAAGACCAGGTCTGTCGGGGAGACAGCGTCTGAATGAAACACCACCACGCTTGGAGCGTATATTTAAGCTGGGTTGGAAGGGGGGAAGGGCGCCTTGACAAAATAATTTGCGTATCAAGAGGAATTTAGCATATTTATGGGAAATGCAGGTATGTGATTAGTACTACTTGTGAAATGCGTAGGAAGTGGGCAGGGGGTTTTCAAAGTCATATTATGCCCGTGCATTATTCAGGATTAGCAGCATCAAAGGGAGGGGATAGGGGTAGCATTAATAAAGGGAAGGAATGTTAATAGTATGTAGCTGCAGTAACTAATCAACCACGTAAAAAACGAAAGTATAAACTACATAGAGTATCATCAGTATACTAAATATATTTTCTTAATTATTTTATTACTTCCCTTCTACGTGACTTTACCGAAAGATCCAAGAAGACGAATCCCTGCAGTCACGAAAGCTTTAATTCGAAATGTGAGTCAGTGTTGATGATGTGGGTTCATGGTGAAGATGTGAGTCTGTGTTGGTTTCGTGGATTCTTGCCGATTGTGGGTTATTGCTGATGA